AAGGAAGGAAGGAAGGAAGGAAGGAAGGAAGGAAGGAAGGAAGGAAGGAAGGAAGGAGAAAGAGAGAGAGAGAGGAAGGGAAAAATGAAAGAAAGAGAGGAAGGGAAGGGAGGGAGGGAGGGAGAAATGAAAGAAAGAGAAAGGGAAGGGAAGGGAAGGGAAGGGAAGGGAAGGGAAGGGAAGGGAAGGGAAGGAGAAATCTTTTACCCAATTGAATTAGATCTGAAAAACGTCGTCCTTGATCTGAAAAGTGCAAGAGAAAAAGAATAGATTTAATGTCTTGATTGCTGAAGGGAATACGCCTAGGTTTAGAGGCCCCTGCATAAAACAGGGATAAATATTTATTACTATTTATTGAAACTATTTCAGTACTACTTCCTTTTTAAGAGATCTCAGCATCAACCCCTCACAAAGAAATTAAATCTTTGGACTCCACCCAGATTTGCAACAGACAATTTTCAAATAAATTACAATTCCAAAATTTTGGTAGGGAGATGTTGAGAAGTCACCACAGATGAGCCAAGATGAAACCAGGATATGTGTATAGGAAGGAGACATAATGTGACTACTCTTATAGTTTGAACAGAATAATATCCCCAGAGTGCCTGCATTTTTAACAACCTACACCAAACAACTAAGTTTTGCTTTATTTCTAAGCCAACATCCTGAAGTTAATCCTTTCTTTTCAATGTCTCAAGCAGTTAATTCTTCTATAATGTAAATCCAACATTGTTAAGGATTTGAAAGCAACTCTTTGACATTTTTCACGCATCGCCTGGCTTACTTACATCAGAAATGTAGTTGCTGTCACCACTGGACAAAACAACCCACCTCTTTTAAGAGTTTTCTCTTATTAATGCACCCTACAAGGAAGAGAATTCAAGCAGAATCCTACCCATTTGTTCTGTAAGAATTCAGCTTTATTCTGCTGTCCCATTTTCTGCCCATGAGTATGAAGACAGCACGATGGCTAAAAAATGGAGGACAACATTTAAATCTTCCTCCCCACCAATCGGGCATCCTTCAGATATTCAACTTTTTAACGATGGTATTCGGCTGGAAATTTGGAGAGGAGGAGGCCCAGGTTGCAGAATGCAAACATAAATGTGGTTTTTAAAAATTAATTTTAAAAATTAACGAACCTTCCTATCCGATCCACTCTTGTGTATCCTAAACTCTCACCTGCACATACATTCCAGGTGTTCTTCAAATGTCAGCTGGTTTAGATATCTATGCGGGAAAAGACTTGCCATTACCTAGAAAACAGGAAGACTTGGATCACCTTCACTCTAAATGTCCAGGACTCAATGCTAAATACAAGCACCATTATCCCTGGTAGGAAATTGAGGTGGAAAAGGACCAATCTGTATATTTCTGGGTGGTTTTTTAAATCCCTAGCCAAATCAATAGATGTAATGGGATGCGGGGAAGACCTTGGGAGGTGGGACGAAGAGACGCTGCCAAGGGAATGGTCAGATAAGAGGGAGCATAGCCCACAGCTGCATAATGGGTGGAGAAAGAGACTCAAAAGAGACCTTCCCTAGTTTCTCGGCTGTAAAGGAGATGGAGGGAGAATGGTACTTTCAGACTTGCAAGATTCTGTCAATGTAGCTTTACCATAAAGTAGAACTAGCTCATCTGGTTGTGTCTCCTATCCAGTTTACCCCGCAAGGCTGACATCACCTAAGGGAAGGCTTCACACAAACAACTGAGGGAAAGCATTACATTTTCTTGTGGTGAGCTATAATGGCCACCAGGAGGCAGTACATGACTGGTTTCATCCTTACAGTATGGGGAATCGTCAGATGTGCACAGCCCGATCTTCTTCTGGCCTCCTAGACTGGGATACCTCCTAAAGAGAATGTACTGTATACAGTCATCTAAATTGTGATGGTCCATGAGTTCAGTTTCTAGGAGAGGATTTGAACCCCATAGAACAGTGTTTCTCAAACTTGGCAACTTCAAGATGTATGGACTTCCGCTCCCAGAATTCCTCAGCCAGCATGCTTTAAGATGTGTGGACTTCAACTCCCAGAATTCCCTAGCCAGCATGCTGGCTAGGAAATTCTGGGAGTTGAAGTCCACATGTCTTAAAGTTGTCAAGGTTGAGAAACTCTGCCATAGAATAACATCTGGCTATACATGTCTGACGAGTCCCAAATAAGGTGAAACCAGTCATAGACTGCCCCTTGGTGGTCAATGTAATTGAAAACCTTCACACAGGATATCCACTATGTGAAATCAGAGAATTCTTCCCACTTCCAAGTCTTGAAAATCAGCAGCCAAGCTTGGAAGAAATCAGCAGCCACCACTGGAGAAGAGGAACAAATAGTGGCTACACTTTGCAATCCTCGCACTTCAAGTCTGAATGAGCAGGGATTCGGAATCTGGAGCTGTCCACAAGGGAGGGGGTTTCCTGAATCTCCTCCCACCCTCCCACCTCTTACCTCCATGATTAATTCCCGAGAACGGCTGGGCACGCAGTCCAACGAGTCGTCCGAACAGCAGCCTGTGCAGCGCATCAGGGCCACGCAGGAGGGAAGCATGATGTGGCTGGCCAAGGACGGATGCTCAGCTGTTACCGACACCATCATCTCCTTGGGCTGGCAGATGCTACGGTTGTAGACTTCCAAGAAACTGATCACTGCCAGGAAGACATCAAGGCTTTTAGCTGGGCCCTTCCTGGGCACCCATTCCACCCGGAGTGGTCCTCATCTCCTGTGGCTGAGTAGCCCCCTTCCCTTCTCTTCACAAAGAGGAAACACAAGGGAAAGGGATTGCGTTTGAGTAAAATGTCATCTAAGAGGGCTGGCCCTACCGTTAGACCTTAAGGCCATTGCCCCATGGGGCAAATTCTGGGGGCTGGCAGAAAAGTGCAGGAAGAAAGACCTCTTAATTTAGCCTGTTGCCTTCAGGGGTGGAAGAGATGCTAGGGGCAGGGGGAAGAGGGAATGGCCTTGAAGGACAGGAAGAAGAGCTGCTAGGAAGGCAGTGGTCAGAAAAGAGGGGATTGAGCCCAGGCCAAGAAAGCAACTTGAGAAAATGTTTCAGACAAACCCCTCCTGAGTTCTCACGAAGATAAAGGGAGGGAGAGGGGAAGCACATTCAGATGGGCAAGTTTCTGTTACTATAGCTTTATAATAAAAGTAGTTTTGACCTATATGGCATTGGTTCCTTAGTCTGGTCTACCTTGTAGGGTTGACACTATCCCAACGCCAGCACTGGTTAGAAATTAAACTGCCAGCCTGGTGGCTTTATTTATTTACACACACACACACACACACAGTAGGAGCGATATTATTTTGTTCTTCACACTGAGCACCACTGTGCCTTCGGACGACTCTCCTAAGCTCTCTTTCATTAACAAGCACTTGACGTGCACTTTCTTCAATGCAGTATTTCTCAACCTTGGCCACTTGAAGATGTGTGGACTTCAACTCCCAGAATTCCCCA